GGCAGCAGATTTGCTGCTCCTACCAGCAGACTTCTCCCACTCCCTGAGGACCTCCAATGGGCCCCTGCAACAGCTCCCCTGGGTGCTAGCCCAGGGGCCAGGAGACAGCTGTCTCCTGACAGGGGCTGGGACATAGGCTTAGCCACCAGAGCCTGGGTGGGGACAATGTCCCCCTGTCCTGGCAGCAGGGAGCTCCCAGGCCTCACTCCAGGATTGTGGGGCTTGGGCTGAGAGACCCTTATCTCCCTGTGCCAGCTCTGTGGCTGCAGGGCCCAGGCTGGAAAATACCTATCTCCCAGAGCCAGCTCCATGGTTGTGGGGTTGGTGCTTGGTGCTGGTACTGGGAGATATTTCTCTCCCAGTGCTGGCCCTGAGACCATGGAGTTGGCTCTAGGAGATAAGGATCTCCCAGCCTGGGTCGGGGAGAGAAGGATCTCCCAGTGCAGGCCCTGTGACCACAGAGCTGGTGCTGGGAGATAAGGATCTCCCAGCCCTGGCTCTGTGATTGTGGAGTGGGAGCTGGGAGCTCCCTGCTGCCAGGGCAAGGGTACATTGTCCCTGGCTGGGCTCCAGTGGTCAGTGGTGATGCATAGGGGGTGCATGTGCACCCCCTGAGAGTGCTGGTGCACCCCCTGTCAGGCCACACTCCCTGTTTAGGCAACTGGCAGGGTGGTAGGCAGAAGCGCTGGTACCCCCCCTGCGGTGCACTGGCCGTGGAGTGGGGCTGCCAGCAAAACAGGCTGTACCACTTCTAGAAGTGGCCACGGGACTTCCAGAAGCAGTGCAGCTGCTTTTTGGTGAGTGAGATCTGCAGTGTGGGACACCTCCCCTGGTCAATGAGATTGGCTGCTGGAGGAGCCACCTCCCCACCCCAGTCAGTGAGATCGGCTGCCGTGGGAACCCCCACACAGCCACTGACTGGTTTCAGGGGGGGCATGTGCCCCCCCTGACTCAAGAGGCACCAGTCGCCCATGCTGGTGGTGGCAGCAGGCACCTCTCAGGGGCAAGTAGCAATCTCCTGCCCGGCTGACCAGGACCACATTTGCTAGTGGTCAGGCGTCCACACATGTGCTGCTGCACAGTAATCTTGAGTAAATTTGCTATTTGCATTTGTAGGTAGCAAATTTACTCAAGATTAGAGCCCATTACTGTGCAGTAAGCATTGCACAGTGAATGGGGCCCCAGCTGGGACAGGCTGTGGGACAATCGGACCCTGGCAGCTCCTTTAGAGGCATGGGTCGGCGGCTGTCGCTGCTGTGCGCACCATGGGAGAACCAAAGGGGAGGGACACGTGCTCCCCCATGCCGCGCCCCTGGAGGAACGGGCCAGAGGCAGGGACAAATAATTTGCCTTTGCCCCTGCCTCACTCCCTCCTGCAATGTCGGGCGCTCTTTCTAGCAGGGGAGGGGGTTGGGCTGCACTATGGTGGGGGCTGCAGCCACCCCAAAATTTGCTGTAGCGCCCCCCAACCCTCTCCCAGCCAGCCTGGCCCAACAGCCTGGCACTGACCCGGCCCCAGCCCACCCTGCCCCACATGCCCCTGTGCCTCCCTGGAGTGTGCACAGTGATGGCGCTGGGGGTGGTGGCTGAATGAAAGTGGGGCTTGCATGTGGCGGCTGTCACCCTGCTTGGCCACATGCTGGCCCACTTTGCTATAGCCGGTCATGGCTCTGCAGGCTACTGACAGGCCTCACACCTGGCTAATTGTGTGCTGCCAGGGGTGGCCACAACCCCAACCTGGCCATTCAAATGGGTGGGGAGGTGCCGCAATATGCCACGTGGAGCCGGTGGTGCCGGGCAGGTGCCATGATGTGATGGATGGAGCCAGGGGAGCTTCTCCTTCCCACTCCCCTGGGTAAGAGGCGAACGTGCCAGGGGAGATGCTGCCGCCACGCTCTGTCCCTACCCGCCCGTACGTACTCCCTATAACCCAAGTACCCCTGGGGGTACACATACCCTGAGTTGACAACCCCTGGCCTAGGCTACAATCTGGACTGGAGGGATCTAAGTAAAACAGAGAAAGGCTGTATCCAGGAGGCTCTCCTTTGTGCTGGAGATTCTGGAAGCAGCTACAGCCATTGCAGTTCTTCAGAAAGGAATCAATCTCAAGGCAGCTTTAAGGAGCTGAGGCAGCTGAGACAGAAACTGCCAAGAGCAATAGCTTCAGTGGGGGTCTTTGGAGAGAGTCTTCCTACCAAGCTCCAGCACTACTTCAGTTGATGGGGTGGTCCCCAGAACCACACGCTGTTAAGGGAGAGAGACACAGCTGACCAAAACTGGGACTCCTCCAGACCTGGATCCAAATTATGAGTGGAGAGGAGAGGAGAGCTGGGTTCAAGGAGATACAGACAGTAGCTGCAATGTGAGCTGGGTTTATGCCTGTTGTCAAAGCACCTTGGGGCTTTCCACAGTTTATATCGTACTCCCCTCTCTCCCCCTTGGTTTTTGGTATTAAACTCTTGGACTCATTGCTTATGATACCCACACAGACAGCGGAATTCAGTTTGCCAGGTTCCTGGGTCAAGCCAGTGGTATTTGAGCTTTTAAGCAGGAATCCCTAAACCAGTAGCTCCCAATCTTTTGGAGGCTGTAACTCCAATTCCAGGGTGAGCCTGCCTGTGGGGCTCACAACCCCATTCCTAAGTCCTGTGGCAGCTTCCCTAGGCACTGGAATCCAGCTGTTTTCACTGCTGAACAGCACTTGGCAGACAGGTTATATCTATAATTCCCCTCCTGACCACAGTTTTTTAGATAAACCCTTTGGGCGCTTGTACATGTGACAATGTCATGTGGCTTAATGGTGTCACACATTACACATACCTGAGTTTTGTGAGTTTTAAATGACCCTGCATCATTGCAAACTAAACAGCATCCCGATGTAGTTTAGTTTGCAATGTCGCATTTTGGAATGTTGCAGCCATTAGTCAGCTCACCCCGGGCTGTGAGAGAGGTGGGCAGGCTCCATGGAAAAAAAGACATTAGGTCCCTCACCACTTCTGCCTTCAGCAAGCTCCTGCAGCCAGCAGGATGCCTGGGACCACCCAGGAACAGGCTTACTTGCCCCTGGGGCAGTGTGGGAAGGTGGCAGGAGGGCAGTTGAGTTTGCTGGCAGCTGGAGAAGGCAGCGGGGACAGTGCACAGGGTGCTGGAAGCCCAGGCAGGCTGCTAGCTGGCTGAGTGCTGCCCCAGCTCGGAGGTGCCTAATCCAATGCTTCCCCGAGCCCGCCCATTCTTCCAGCACCCTGTGTACTGTTCCCACCAACTTCTCTGGCCACCAGTACACTTAGCTGCCCTCCTGCTGTTTCCCCACACTGCCCCAGGGGCAAGCTGGGTGTGTTGGTGGCCAGAAAAGGCAGAAGGGATGGTGCACGGGGCACTGGAACCCCAGGAGAGTTCGGGGAAGCGTTGGATCAGGTGCCTCTGAGCTGGGGCAGCACCCGGCCAGCTAGCAGCCCACCTGGGCTTCCAGCACCCATGCACCATCCCTGCCACCTTCTCTGGCTGCCAGCAAACCCAGCCACCCTCCTGCTACATTCCTGCACTGTTCCAGGGGCAAGCCAGCCTGTTCCCAGGCGGTCCCAGGTGTCCTGCCTTCAGCAGGCACCTGTGGCCACCAGGACAACCATGTCTATACAGTGACAGAAATTGAAATGGTGAGGTTTCAATTAAAAACTCACCGTTTCAATTTAGGGGGCACAGAATGCAACCTGAAGAACTAAACCTCTGTTACGTGTACAAGCGCCTTTGTGCCTAGCCCAAGGTCACACTGGGAGTCTGAGACAGAGAGAACTTAAGTCCAGATCTCTTTATGTCCTAGGTTCATGACAGAACCATTGCACCAATCCTCTTCTCAAGCCCTTGTTCTTTGTGCAATGTGCCCATTGACATCATCTTGGAAATAGGGAACTTTGGCACTGTAGCCCAGACCCAGGGGCTTTAACTGAAAAGGGGGATACTGCTCTCTCTACAGAATGAGGCTTACAGTGCTGCAGTAGAGCAAAAAGCCCTGATTCAAAGTCTTGAGTGAAGAGTTTACAGCACTATGGCTATTCAGCTGTTGAAGGATGGTTACAAAGAAAATCTGATTTACTGCTGACAGAAGTTAAAGCAAGAAGAGATTGTCATAAAGAAATCCAGACTGACCCTCCTACCTCACCCAGTCCAGGGCCCTTGCTCTACTCTAGTGGAGGCCCCTGCTGTTTGGCAAAGTTTTTACCAACCTCCCGACTGGCCGCAGTGGTGGATTTGCATGAAAATTCCCTCTGAAACTTTTAATCAGTTTCCCCCACAAAAGATCAGCTGCATGCAATTAATTGCTGCAGGGGATGAATGAATGCTACCTTCTGCCCCTCGAAAAGATGTTTGATTTATTTGGAATAAAGGGCTAAAAACAACCCAACACACCAGAGCTCTGCACAGCCAAAGCGGGAAAGATTATATTCAGCTCCCGAAGAACAGATACGAACTGCACGGTCTGATAAAGCAGCTTAAGCATGCAAGCCAAGAGCAAGGCAGGGAGAGCGGACCTGAGCAAAATGAAGAGCCAGGGAAAGACAAAGGAACAGATGTGGCAGCTCTGCTGTGCAGAGAGGGAAGGTCACAGCTCACTCCCCTCAAGGAGCTGCATGGGCTCACTGGAGGGAAGGTACCAGGTGAAGGAAACAGAAGCAGGGTGGGGTCTACAGAGTGATCTGGAGGATGGCAGCCAGTAGTGAATCTTGTAACAGTTGCCACCTATGGTACAAACTGCCCAATCTAGGACTGCAGCTGTGGAAATGGTCTCTCCAACAGTTTTCATGTGCATTAGAGAAGGCACGAAGGAAAGAGGGCAGTGGGTGGCTTCACATTTGCTAACCAAGCCAGGGAAACAGCTGGGAACTGCAGGTAGAAGAGTGTGATGTGAGGCACAATAGGCTGAATCTGCCCATCCTGATGCTGGGGGCAGGATGCAAATAGACAACAAGAGGAAGCTACCACATGGGGGAGGTAGGTAAACGTACCCAATGGCATATCTGCCCAGCAGCGGAGGAGATGAGTCCCAACTGCAGGCCACTGTACTTGCTACTGGGCAGATTAACACCCTGTCGTAAATGGATGCAACTTCCCTGCAGTCAATGGAAGTGCAATTGATTAGTGCCAGGCTAGACCTTTCCTGTTCTAGCAAACTTAAGCTGGTTTAGTGAAACATGTTTAAATCTCAATGTAGGTAAAACTGCAACTTTCTAAAGTGGATGCCATTAAATTCACTTTGCTTGTATTTACATTGATTTAGGTGGCGTCCAGTACAAAGCAACACAAGTGAAGGTGAAACTGGTGTAAAAATGTTTACATTAGGGGTTTCCAGCAATTTAACTAGATCATTTTCTATATTGATTTTGCTAAAGCAGCACATTTTTCTTGTTAGAGAAGGCCTTAGCTTTACTGGAACTAAGCAGCATGAAATTTATTTACTCTAGCTTCCCTTGGAAAAGAACAATCCCCTGAGGGGCCCCTATTTCCTGTGGAGTTGAGAAGCTGCTTGCACTGTTGTTGTGTTGCAGAAATCCCAATGAAAGATCAGTGATTTGCCCCTCCACTCCCTATCTCTCTCCCTGCCTTGCACCTACCCTCCTTCTGGATGGCTCACTTTTGGGCACTGCAAGGGAAGAACAAGCCTCCTTCCTCCCCTCAACATTACCCAATGATGGCTGATGCTACAGAAATAACTCACATGTCTGGCCTCCACAGTCACCCCTGTGAATAAGGATAGTATACCCATATCACAACTGTGGAACTGAGGCACAAGGTAGATTAAGTGACCTGCCCAAGGTCATATAACACGAGCCAGGAACTGAACTGAGGTTTCACAGACTAGCACTATAGCTGCTAACTCACCCTTCTGGCAGCCCCCTTAGCAGTAGACACATTGAGGGGTGCGGTGAGGAGATAGAAGAGGCAGGGCAAAGTACCTCAGCTGCTTCATTACGGAGCAGCCATTGCTCTGGTGCTAGCACTATGCTGCCCTCAACAGAAGCCCAACCCAATAGAAGCCAGGTGCTGTGGAGGAACCTGGCTTACAGGCCCCCTTTGAGAAGAAGCATAGTTTCCTTCTTTTCTCTTCACTCTCTCAAACGCACACAAAATAGAATAATTAATTTGCTACGCCCTTCTTACCAACCACCAGCCAGTTCCCCTGAATGCAACTTACTGCAGAGTTGAACCGGAGGTGGCAAATGTTGCAGGAGATGAACTGTTTCTTTTTGAGCGGGGAGGGCACTCCAAAGGTGTGATTGATCACGGCCTTCTGCACGGGATCCATCTGCAAGAAAGGGAGGCAATGTGGTTAGCTGGTGACTAATGCTCTGCTTCAGAAAGTGGATAAATGAACAACCTTTGGCCTGGCCTGGGACCAGTGTGTACTGCACTTGCAAGAAAAGGTCCTGGAGAATCACTGCTGAGCATGTCACACAATTCTTTGTTTCCTGTGTTACCACTGGTGAAAACCATCAACACTTAACACACAGTTTCTTGCTCTGCTTTGGCATTAGCTTCCATCTCCTCTAGAAGGGGAAACTCAGAACTTCGGAGTCAGGAGGTAAGACAACATTTCAGTTCTCATTCAAGCAGAAGGTCTGATTTGAACATTTCTCCACGTTATTTGGGCACAAGCCAGACACATTTCCCCCACAGTACTACACAGTGCAAAGACCCCCAAGCCATCTGATGCCTAATCATGCTATTAATGATGGCAGCCACAAAATGGTGCTGTCTTATATACCCTTTCTTTACTGTGCAAGCAGCTGGCAGTCTTTGAAGAAAGGCTGCATTGTACTTAGTTTTGTGATTTGGCTATGATAGGGGAGCTGTTGCAAGCAGCAAGAGGATTTAGTACTCAACCTAATCTCTCTAATCAAAGTCAATTCTTTCTTTTGGGGAACTAGGGGTTGGTGCGACCTGAGGTTCACCAGCTTGGTGTTCATAACTGTCTGCTGAAGAGCTACTGTACAAAATGTGAGCAAAATAAGTTATACTAATAATACACCTGACTGTGTCCATGTTTTTATCCTCTTTTACTGAAAAAAATCAATCTGTGGGATCCCAATATTTGCAGTGCTTGGTAGAGTAAACTATGGTTTTTCTTTCTGCTTCTGATCTCTGTTTTGCTCTCTCCTATCTGCTGAGGGATAAGTAACTCTACCACCTTCTGCCAGGGAGAAACAATCATGTCTATTAATCTTTTTCATCATCTCATCCACTCTCAAAGCACTTAAAAGCAACACTTGCTCTAGGTGAGGGCTAGGAGTCAATGCCCTTTTTTAACAGGTGAGACAAACAGAAATAACACAGGACACAGAAGTTCCAGCATCTTGTTCCCCAGTGAACAACTCAGAAATAGATCCAGGGAGTGCTTTGAGACTTCCTCTGTCTCTAACCCTCTCTCTCTTCACAACAGTTACCAATATCATGGATGGCAAATTATCGGTTGCCATTAGCGGTCCCCAGCTGTCATGCTCAAGAGCCCCAATGAGCAGGAGTATTTTCAAGTGACACAGCAGGAACTGCACCCATCACATTAAGGAAAGACAGTTATATTTTCTGAAGATGTTTTTAAAAAAAGAGTCACCAGCCATTAACCCTTTGTTTGCTATTCATCAGCAACTAAAATCCACTTCAAGCAAGGCTGCAAAGCTATCACCACTAGCTTACAGGGTGCCTATGTCCTCTGCCCTGCAGTGAATGTCACCATATTACTAACACACTCCTTCAGAAGGGCACTTCTGAAGGTTGCCATTGGAATCTACTTTAAATCACTAGCGTGCTGGAGAACAGACTGCAGGCATCCTTATATTCCCACCAAGCTGGATTTGTGGTTCAGCTCCTTGTCTGTAAAATGACTGCAAAAATCCTGCTTTCCTGCCACTCTCTGTTTAGATTCTGAGTTCATTTGGGCAGACTCTGGTTCTTGTTAGCACTAGCACATTGATGCTCCAGTCTCAGCTGGTGTCTGGAACACAGTAAGCAATCTATTTTGCATGCTGTATCAAATTAGTCGAGGATGGGGTGGCAGAGGGGTTAAGGCCTCTCGATACAGCTGCAGAAGGGTAAGCTGGATCCTCACACTCTCAGTTGGTACCAAAGCCCACTCCCAGTCAACCCAGCTGTAAACGGGGAGCTGGTCATTTGAGTTGGGGAGTCAGGGGCAGCTGGATGTGATGCTGACCACACTGTTCTCTTGTGAGCCTTTGGCTACAGAAATTGCTTTATCTAGGCAAGTCCTTCGATCAAACTCTTACCATGACTATTTTGTAATGTTTTTTGATTACTTGATGAATTTCCAGCACCGTTAGTATTTCACGGGGCACATACGCTCGTTACGTTGAAATTTTAAACAACTCAGCAATTTGCAGTGAGCTGTGTCTTTCCTCAAAGGGCAGAGTGCAGAGGTTCTGAGGCAAGGCAGATGCAAGAAGACAACTGACAGCCTCTGGTGGGTCTGTCTCTTCCTAATGCTCACCCTCATCTTATTCTTCAGCCATAGCAGCAAACTTGTTCAAAAAGCCATAATTGTTTTAAACAAAATGTATTTATTAAGGGGGAAAAATAAGAATAACCTCTTTGTTTGAGTGCAGCTATAATCTATAATGCAAGTATTGTTCCCTTACCCTGTGGCATAGGAAGATTATCTTATCTGAGTCCTGCTGTCAGTAGAGCCTTGGGTTTTTAGGCGATCGTATTTCTCTGCAAAGCTATTTAGTTGCCGAGACAGGTGCATCAGTCTTTAAGGCACATGCCTGGACAACAGAGCCATTATCAAGACCCCAAATTCCATTCCAGAAGTGAGCAGAATGGTAATATCGAGTGATTAATGAAGTGCCTGTTTGCTATGAAATTTTACTCACTTATCTGGAATATAAATGAAGAGGCTTTCAGCTGCTGATGAGGCATGAGGAATCTAGCAATGACAAAGATGCCACCCCACCCTTGACAACAAACGTGGCAATGCATTATAGGCATCATCCGTGTACAGCAAATCTGCACGCACAAGAACAGGACTGGCCTTTGTTTCAGGAAACACCCAACCTATCAGGACATAAATGAGAGAAGTCTCTCTAAGCTCTGCAGCCATGCGCCAGGATGCTGAGTCCATCTCGCCTACTCTCCCACTGGAACAGAGAGTTCATTTTAATTGACAAACACTGTTGTGAAACAGCTCTTTGGATTTTAAAGAGCTCATCCTTCATGTCGAGTAGCTCAGGAGAGAGCAGGAGCCAGAGAAGTCAGGAGGAAAATGGAGTGGAACATACAAGCGTTGGAAGCTGTCAGGGATAGCCTGAGAAAATCCTGACCTTGGGTCCACCAAGAAATGGCTGGGTGGGGAGAACTTAAGAAAGTATGGGTAGGCAGATGATAACCCCCTCTGGACTGGTGGTTCCAGACACATAATGTGGGCACAAAGTACCCATAGGAAACTCACCGAGGAAGAACTGCCCTGTGACTGAGCCACTGGACTGGGACTCCTGAGCTGTGGGCCCTGTTCCCAGCTCTGTCACAGGCTCCCAAGTCAGTATGACCTTAGCAGGGAAAGTCACCTTATGGTTCTGTGCCCCAGCTCTGTATCTGTAAATCTAAGGCAGTTATATGTCCGTGAGCTGGTTCTGTCAGTTCTCTAGGGCATGGACTGTCTCTCCCTGTGTGTTTGTGCTGCACCCATCACAGCAGCTCACAGGGGGAACTTTGTTTTGGCTGAAATTTTCAGTGTTTCCATTAAAATTAATCCCCCCTCCCTTTTAACTCCTTTTTCCCTTTCATCAGAAAATTGGAATAAAGAAAGAAGGGAAAGAATAAAATAAAAACAAACTCCGAAAATGGCTTAATCTTTCTTTTTTTTTGGTTTGGTTTTTAATCACTAATTTTCATTTTGCTTTGGTGGGGGAAAAATTCCAACCATCTGACTATTTTTGTGGAAAAGATTTAGATTGTTAAAAAAAAACTGTTGGAAAAAAGAAAGAGCAAAATTTTTCAAAGCGAATTTGTCAGTATGAGACAAGTTATATTAGAACAGCAGCTAAGCAGGTTGATGGTACAAAGGGAGGCAAGATTCCTGAGTCTTATTACCACTGGTTCAGTGCAAATCACCTCCCCTGCCTGTGCATCCCCTTCTGTAAAATGGGGATGTTGTTACTGATCTGCTTCCCACAAGAGCTGAGGGGTGGGAACCCATCACTATCTGACAAATATTTCAAGATCTGTGGGTGGAAGGCGTTTGAGACGGACAGGGGATGTATTATTGCTATACAAAGATCAGATGTTCATGCAAAGTACCTGGTAAATTCTTTGGCTAAGGGCTCCAGCTAGCATGGGTGGTCCAGGGTTTTGTAAAGACGGGTGTGGTATCTACCCACCACAACTATCACTGATGCTGTCCCTGGTTAAGCCCAGCTCCCTGTGCAGCCTGGCTGAAGCAAAGCAGGAGCAGTTCTCTGGGGGGAAGAGAAATGGGAGGGGAGGGAAGGTGCTGCTCAGTATGAAGGGGAAGTAGGGGGAATACTTACTTCCTTTTAGGGACTTAAAAGAAGTCTCTTGCTGCTGCTCTTGTGGCAGCATGGTACAAAAAGGGTGTGCGACTGTGCCACTGCACCCCCTCTGGATTCACCCCTGCCAGCTAGTATAAGTGAGTACAACTCCATCAGCATCAACAGTCTTATCATCAATTACTACTAGCAGAGAACCTGCTTCTTCCTCCCTAATAACTGTCACAGAAAAGGGCCTAGGAAGAGCATTTGTTAAAAACTGTTCAGCTATTTAATCAGCTGATTTAATAATCAAAGGTAGAAAACTTAACCCATCAGGAGATTGGCTATGAGATATGCAGTACTAAAATTGAACTTTGGGTGCAGATATGATGAGGCCTGAGCTGTATGCCACAAACAGAAAAGGGTAGTGAAGACTGTTGCACTAATGATCAAAGGCCCTTTATGCTATGTAGTAACAGTTTACATGCCTATTAATTATTGCTAAATTACAG